ATGTTTGAGTGAAGTATAATAATTTTAAATTTTCAGGTATTTGTAACCTGTTTGTCCATAGGTTTAATTAACTATAATTGTATACTAGTATATGGATAAACAAAGTGAGCGTATGTATGTGTGGTGTGTGTGTGTGTGTGGGGGGGGAATAATTTGATCTTTGTTATTTACCTTTATTAGCTCACCTGAGCCGAAGGCTCAAGTGAGCTTTTCTGATCACATTTTGTCCGGCGTCCGTCTGTCTGTCTGTCCGTCTGTCTGTCCGTCTGTCTGTAAACTTTTCACATTTTCGACTTCTTCTCAAGAACGGCTGGGCCAATTTCAACCAAACTTGCCACAAAGTATCCTTGGGTAAAGGGGATTCAAGTTTGTTCAAATGAAGGGCCACGCCCTCATTCAAGGGGAGATAATTGGGAATTAATGAAAATTTAGTGGCATATTTTAAAAATCTTCTTCTCAAGAACCACTGTGCCAGGAAAGATGAAACTTATGGGGAAACATCCTCAGGTAGTGTAGATTCAAATTTGTTCAAATCATGACCCCCGGGGGTATGGCGGGGCCAAAATGGCCGACCAATGTTTCACATAGAAATATATAGGAAAATTCTTTAAAAATCTTCTTCTCAAGAATGACAAAGCCATAATTCATCATATTTATATGGGAGCATGCTCAGGTAGTGTAGATTCAAGTTTGTTCAAATCATGACCCCCCGGGGTAGGGCGGGGCCAAAATGGCCGACCAAAGTTTTACATAGAAATATATAGGAAGATTCTTTAAAAATCTTCTTCCCAAGAATGACAAAGCCATAATTCATCATATTTATATGGAAGCATGCTCAGGTAGTGTAGATTCAAGTTTGTTCGAATCATGACCCCGGGGGATATGGCGGGGCCAAAATGGCCGATCAAACTTTTACATAGAAATATATAGGAAAATTCTTTAAAAATCTTCTTCTCAAAAATGACAAAGCCATAATTCATCATATTTATACGGAAGCATGTTCAGGTAGTGTAGATTCAAGTTTGTTCAAATCATGACCCCCGGGGGTAGGGCGAGGTCAAAATGACCGACCAAAGTTTTACATAGAAATATATAGGAACATTCTTTAAAAATCTTCTTCTCAAGAATGACAAAGCCATAATTCATCATATATATATGGAAGCATGCTCAGGTAGTAGAGTTTCAAGTTTGTACAAATCATGACAACCCGGGGTAGGGGGGGGGGGCAAAATGGCCGACCAAAGTTTTACATAGAAATATATAGGAAAATTCTTTAAACATCTTCTTCTCAAGAATGACAAAGCCATAATTCATCATATTTATATGGAAACATGCTCAAGTAGTGTAGATTCAAATTTGTTCAAATCATGACCCCCAAGGGTAGGGCGGGGCCAAAATGGCCGACCAAAGTTTTTAAAGATATATATAGGAAAATTCTTTAAAAATCATTTTCTAAACAATAGCAAATCCATGATTGGTCATGGGACTACTTTTGGATTTAAACTTTACAATAAAAAGCCATTTTCTACTTTTTCCTACCCTTAGTGCTCAGGTGAGCGATGTGGCCCATGGGCCTCTTGTTTTTATTTTTTATTTATTAATTTATTACCAGGTATTTGTAACAGGTGTGTTCATAGATTTGACCACCATTGTATTTGGACAAACAATGATGTGGGAGGCTTGAATCATGGGACCTTTGTGATCTTTCTCTTGTCCCTGATGGCCATCATGGTTAATGGAGTCTGGATGGCCAGTAGAAGCCTCATCCTGTACACGGAGCACTACAAAATAATGCAGACTTCTGTAATGGCACCTGATGGCTCTATACAACAAATTACCTTTTCTATTCTTTTCCAGGTAAGATTGCATTATGTCCCTATGTTGATTTTATGTGCTATACCGATAATTTAGAATTACATGTAATCTAGAATGCTTTTTTAATGAAAAAAAAATGTGCCTGATAAAAAAAACTAAACATATAAACGGTGTCATGTAACCATTCTGGCATTTATTGCTTCAAAACGGTTTCATACGGCAGAAGTGTTTCCTCTTCGATAACCTTTGGGCTTTAGATCTATATCAATCTGAAGCTTATAGGTTTTCCTAGTAGCACAAATTTAAAGACAACCTACGACTATTTAGATTTCTTTTATTCCTTTGAATTTATTATGCCATCCTAACGTGACAATGTTAATTTAGATATAATAGCAGATTTGCTCTCTAGATTACAATACCGGTAACTTTGCACGTGTTGTAACCTGAGAGCTTGGGTGGTATGAGAATATGACATCATTACGAAAACGAAACAAGTAGTAAAAAATATTTGACTCATACATTTACACCGTAAATGCTGAAGTTTTACAAATTGGAATCTAAATAAAAATATAACTTTACTTTAAATTCATGGAGTAGTTTGTTTTAATAATCATCTTTTTTTTTATTTTGGTGGACCCCCTTTTAAAAACATTCCATGGAGCCGCGCTGTGTTCATCGTCGGAAACCCACGGTCGGTCTCGCTTCTCTCGAGGTAAGAGAAGCGAGACCGACCGTGGGTTTCCGACGATGCGCTGTGTTGTCCTTGGTGGCAGACAACCAACGCTAATTAAATGTACATCGTGAAATGTTCAAACTAGGTTTGAATATGTATACACGGTGTATTCCAATTTATTCTTACTTTTTGGCACTAAAAGACTTCCGTGTTGAGAAATATCTTCTATGAATGATCGATACATTTAATGTACATTCCAATCACTTACCTGTTCGGCATCGTAAGCACGTTGTACGTGTTTGACCTTCCTTGATAGGAACTCGCATATAAAAAATTCTTATACAATATATCACACTGTCAATCTTTAAAAAATGAAATAACAAGAAAGGTACACAATAATCTTAAATGTTTAGTTCCCATAATTAGGAACTGGTCGACGGAAATATCTCATCGATCAATAAAAATTCCCATATAAGCACATTTGATTACTAATAGACGAATGTACATAAATACATAAACGTCAGACCATTCTCGTTTTTTCATTACCACGACAATGTGATAACCAGCAACTAAATGCAGGGACGTAGCAACCGAGGGGGCCAAGGGGGGGGGGGGGGGTGGCCCCCCCCCCCCCCCCACTTTTTTCCCGAACTTAACCTTTACTATAGTAAATGTTCATTGATAGGATGGTTGCCCCCCCCCCCCCCCCACTTTTTACCATAGTATAGGGATATCAAGGATTGTAGGGAAAAAATTGGAAGTGATAGTAAGTTGGTCACTACCCCCCCCCCCCCCCCCCACACACACACACACACACACACGCGCGAAATAGGATTTTCGAGTTTTGGCAACTTTTAATTTTTTTTTTTTGTTTTTTTTTTTTTATTTGCTTGCCAACTTTTTCAGGTAAGTAAAAAAAAAATTTCTCTGGTTGGCCCCCCCCCACTTTCAAAAACGATGCTACGTGCTTGAAATGTTTCATCTGAGGTCCAAAGAATTCATTGCAACCCCAGTCTGATTGATTAAAATCATCCCCCTTCCCGATGAAAATCAACCCCTTCTACTTTCACCCCTCAGGACTGTTGCAACCCATTTTTGAATCAATACATACTACAGTATTAAAGAAATATTTCCACAAAATTTTTGTTAATTTAGATTGTGCATGTCCCATCCCTTATCTATGGTGTCGGTATAGGGCCATTTGCTAAAGATTAACAGCTCGTTCAGAAAAACACGCTATTGCGCTAACACACAACACGCTGTCACGCTAACACAAGTTCGCGCAACACGATGTCATGCGACGGCGTGCTGTGTGTTAGCACGACGGCGTGTTGTGTGAACTCGTGTTAGCGTGACAACGTGTTGTGTATTAGCGCAACAGTGTGTTGTGCGACCTCGTGTTAGCGTGACAAGTTGTTGTGTATTAGCGCGACGGCGTGTAGTGCGAACTTGTGTTAGCATGACAGCGCATTATGTGATAGCGCGACGGCCATGGTTGTATTACATGTACATTGCTCGATTATATATTTTCCTGAAAACTAATTGAATCCAGTAGAGTAATCCTGCTGTGATATTTTGTTAACTTTGATATTGGACCCTAAAATGCACTTTAGTCCCCACCCTCCTTTTAGTTGAAGTGAGGATGGGTATTGACCTAAAATTTTGAAAATTTCTTTATACTTTTTTTTTTTATTTTCAGCATTTATTTATGACTTTCCCAAGAATTGTGTTCATGCTGGTGGCCTTTACTTTACTCATACCGATGGTGGGAACATTTACTCTGTACCACGTGTTCCTCATCTCAGCCAATCAGACGACGAACGAGAGGTACAAGCGTATATCTGACTTGGACTACAACATTGTGGACGGTGTTATACTAAACAAGACTAAGAATAAGATTTCAAGTAAAAGGACGCAAGACAAAATAACACGTTCTAAATTTACGTATAGCAGGGGTTTGTTGAAAAATCTTTATGAAGCTTTCTTCCCAAAGCAGTTTCTTTTGAGTGGAAAAAAGCAGAAATGAATGAAAATTTGTGCAAATTTTCTATTAAACATTTAAAAATTTCCAAAATCTTTTAATAGTTGTGATGGCCTTGCTTATAAATAAACATGTAGACCAAGGACCGCATGTCAAATGTGTTAGCTTGTATACTTTTGTACATTCCTAAGAATGAAATGATTAAAATAGCACATTCCTGCATGTCCATGTCATTGTCTGATATTTAGAGAAATTGTTGATGTTAAATTTTTGCAATTATTTTATTTCAAGCAATTAATTTCCATTATCTAATGGATGTACCTGGGTACATAATGTTTGTATAGTTCGCCATGTGATCTGTGATCGACGAAAATATAATTATACAAAATATATAAGATTCAAGCTTGATGAGTGTTTTTGTATTCTGAGTATTTAATTAAATCTGTATATTGTGCTCTCTCTCTCTCTCTCTCTCTCTCTCTCTCTCTCTCTCTCTCTCTCTCTCTCTCTCTCTCTCTCGTACTATCAAATGTAGGCCTTGACAGATTTTTCAATGCCCCTTTTGTTCAATTTTATGGCATTTCAGGTATTTGATACCGAATGTTTATACCTTGCCAACGGAAGTAAATATGCCACGAAATTACATTCAGGTTTCGATAGCCCAGTTTCAGTTCTAAAAATAAACCAGGTCTTTCCATTGCTATTTATAGACTGGCTTTCTTTCATGGAATAACGATCAGTGAAGCTGTGTCTGTAATTTGCCATTATTTTAAGATTTGTGGTATTAAATCTATGTAAACGTAAGTAATTATTTGTATCACGTGATTTTTTTTTAATGCACAAGAAAAACAGGTATTCTCTGTGTTTGTTTTTAAGGCTTTGTGCTTTTTATAGAAAAGGTGATTTCTCATAGTTTCATCTATATAAGTTAGCGAAAACATGGGTTTTCCAATCTTGGAAATCAATAGTGGCTACAAAAGATTACTCCTGGCGGCAGGTTGTATCGGTCCAGTCAGATTGCCTGCATTTCCTTCGTATCATCTGCACACTGTTGCATGTACATTTTTCTGTAGCGAAATAATGGATATTTCCTAGTATCATAAGTAGCTTGCATCATACTGTCTAAAGACGTTCATTTGCTGGACTGCATCCAATGGCCGAAAGTTACTTTGATCATGTTGATATTCTTCATGGGTGTGTATTTTTATGCACTTTGGATAGATTTACTAATTAGAGAAAAGAAAATGAAAATAAAGTGTGAAAAATTGAAGACAATGATTGGCATTTACGTCTTTTCTGGATGATTGAAATTTTTTTTTTTAATTGCAGCAAAGCCTTATTTTAACATTCCATTTTTTATGTCATTAATCATGAATAAAATCAAAACATATTATATATTTATCTTGATCCACTTAAACCAATGTTCTTTAAATTTTGATATCGTTTTTAAACCATCTTTATTAAATATGTAAACATCGATCGTTTTCCTCTCTTTGCAGGGTCCCTGCATTTGACGCCCTGGATATGGAGGGTCTGTCGGCCCCCGATGTCCCCCTGGGCTCCTCGGCTTCGGACAGTAACTCCTCCTCGGACCAAGTAGAAAACAGCCAACCAGCGAACGGGAATTCCACGGCAAGTGAGGCGCTGAAACTCGTGAAGAATGGACTTAAATCTAAAATCCAGAAAAAGTACACGGAAAATGGACAAGCACCTTTACAAGTTTCATTTGATCCTCCCCCAAAATATGAGGTTCGTTTTTTAATTGTGGTATAGATATAATAACTTAATTAAAATCATCTCTCTAGAGTCTAGTTTTAACTTTGCGTGTATATGTTTGATTTTTTTTGGGGGGGGGGGAGGAAAAGTATTGGTATGAGATTCAAAAAGGGGGGGGGGTCTCAAATTTATTGTATTTAAAAACCGATGAAATTTTCAAAGATTTTAGAAGACAAGATCACTAAAAGATACTATCAATTAGATTAATGTTGACCGTTTTGTCTTAGGAACAAGGTCAGTCAATGCCATTATCTTTTCCTTGACTTTAAGATTCAAAAATGTACTGTTGTTAATCATGTGATGCCTACTTCTATTTTTAAATGGAATTTTTTTTTTTTAATTTTATTTTGAATTTTTTTTATATAAAAAATTAAGATAAATGATTTAACAAAATTAGATATACATGTATATATCTGGCTAACATGAATTTCACTTAGAAAAATTTCATTTCGATATATACTTCATTTATTTATTTTTCTTAAGTAGTGATGAATTTCACTTTAAAATATTTCAATGTTCTTCATTTATTTATTTTTCATGTGTACAGTATGTAGTGATGAAGTCATATACAGATACAATATGCTACAAACACGGGGACTTAATTGTTTCGGAGATAAACCCCATAATGTTATTATAATGCTAAGGGTTAAAGATTTATCACCATGCTAACAAGTGTCTGTGTCTACAAACACAAAATATTAAAGTTTTACCGTAAAGTAAGGGTGGAAAACACTTTTGATATACTGATGATTTGCTCAAACCTGTTCTTATATCGGAAGCTTTCTAATTTTAAAGCTGACAATATTTAAGTTTGTTCAGAAATCAAATTTATTAAATATATTTTAAATTTAAATCCGTAGTTAAAATAATTTCAGTCACTACAGAAAATTTCTTTTAGTCTTTGTTTAGAATTTTAACTAAGTTAATTCTTCTGTAATAATTTAAAAAAAAAAAAGAAAAAAAAACAGTAAAAAGGAAATATTTTTACATATGCTACAAACACAAAAAAAATTTTTCCGTACAGTAAAAGTGGCAAACACTTTCTGTCGATGGTTTGCTCAAACCTGTTCTTAGATCTGAAGCCTTCAAAATTTAAAGCTTACAATATCGGAGTTTCTTTAGAAATTAAATTTATTTATTTTTATTTGCAGTTTAAACTTATGGTTTTAGTCACTACATGAAATTTCTTTTAGTGTCTATTTTTTAAAAACTAAAATCATTGTTCGATCTGTAATATTTAGAAGCAGAAAAAAGGGAAATATTTTTCATACACCACAATTTCGCCAGAAATATAGCCTCTGCTCGATTTCAAACTACAAGTTTTTGCATATATTATTTACACTTATAAGAAGGAAAGAAAAATATATTTTAAATTCCATACAAGTAGATTTACATGTACAGTATATATCTCATAAAGCAAGTTATAGGAAGTCATAATATGCAAGTATATTTTGCATTTTTCGTTTAATCAGAAACGTAGACTAGAATCCCAATTCAAAAGAGTTTTAATGATGTAATTATTATGATATACTTTCAATTTTTTTTGTGCAGGGCTGTAAAGCCCATATCCCTTAGAATATTGCAGTTTTTTCTCTCTTATCTTCAGTTGACAGAGGAGGAAAGGAAAAAGCAAGAGCTGAGAAAGATAAGAAATAGAAGATCTGCCAACTACAGTCGAGAAAAAAGGAAAATGAAGGAAGAAAGTCTAGTAAAGGTATGTATTCGGACTTTCCTTTAAACTTTCTAAGTATATTTTTACTTATCATCTAAAATGCTTTATGTGAATGATGATTTCCGAAACTGTTTTCAAAAATTTCGCTTGGAAGAATTTTTACATCGTCTCAAGCCACGGACGAGTTCGCATATAGCTCTCTCCTACTCGTGGCTGTGTGATCAATAATAAGTGTAACCTTAAATACTGTGCTATCTTTTCATTTAGCCATGCTATTACATATAAATACACTACTCCTATTTAGTCAACTTCCGGTTGCTTTCATGTATCTTGTTTTTTTTTTTTTTGTTCAGTGTTGTTTTTTGTTTGGTCTAAATCAACTGTTGTCGGCATTCGTTATTGACATCTGCTAGCTTAAAGAACAAAAGTCAGAAAGTACAATATACTGAGAATGAAATTAGTGTGTAAACCTTTATACATAGATTTAATCAAAGGAATATATTTTCACGTATTCTAAAATCATTTGTGTTTTAGCCGGGCTTACAAAGAGCAATTGCCATTTGTGATCCTGTTCAAGGCAGGATGTTGACCCCCATAGTCGCCAATTTAAAGTTACGTGCAAAAAATATTCAACCGCTTTTGAGATAATACAAACGCTAAATAAAGCAACAAAAATAAAACAAGTTTTTCTATATAAAGTAAACATTAGTAGCAATGACTTTGAAAACTTAATTCATAAGTCAAAGAACATAGTTCATTAGCGTAAGGATTTTTGATAATCAGTGTTACCGTAGTTCTCTACACATAAAGCAGGAGAGGGAAATTTGTTTACATTCAGCTGCGGTACCAGATTAATTCTGATTCTGACAAAATCGGACCGTGGTATTAGGATTGAAAAACTCGCTGTCAGTGTCTTACTATATTGATAGTTTTAAAATAATTTTTTCATCAGAATATAAACGTGATTCATGTAAGAAATCCATTCTACTCTGTAAATGAGCCCGGTTCTCTGTACTTCTGAGTACTTTGATTTCGTCTTTCATCTTTGCAATACGAAACAAAAAAGCATTATTTTAGGTGCAGATCTATAGCGTTATAAGATCCATAAAGCTAAATATGGTCAAAGACTAAAATATAAAAGTATAACGTTGCAAATCTGCAGCTACATTTTTATTGATAGGAATGTATTTAAATTGCATTTAACTTTAAATTATAATATTTTATCAAGTAATACTTTTTTAACAACAGGAGGTGGAGACTTTGGAAACGGACCACAAAAAATTGAAGAGGGAAATACAACAGCTTAAAGTGTTGAAAGAGAAGATGGAAACTACCTTTGCGAGTCACCTTGCCCGATGCCAGCAACAGAGACAAAAACTCAGTGTGCAGCTTGGCTCAGAACAATTAGAGCAGTTAGAGAAAAAGTGTTGTAGAAACCCTGTAATGACAAATGTGAACGGAAGACCCAAGTTTGTAGGGGTGCATGGCATGCAAACTGAATATACTCAAACTTTAAGCTCAGATTCCTCTTCTGAGGAAATTGAACCTTTCTCTAGACAGGCCAGTGAGGGTTTTGAAGCCAATGTAATTCAAGATTACTTGGAAGATGGCGTTTGATTCGGCTGGAATGTTACCTTGTGACCCATATTGTCTTTCAAACTTTAGCTTGGATTTGACTAATATCGTTTAATCCCTGTTAGAATTGTTCTTAGTCGCTGATATCCATCATACCGAATTAGTGCTAAGCGTATCAAGATGCGTTGTCTGGCGCTTTCTTTTGAACACTGGTGATTTTGCACCTTAAACATAGGTCAGCGAACAGGGTCTGTGTATAGGATGCCAGTTGTGCCATACAAACATTAATTTCTCGGAATTTATCTTTATTTTTTTGTTCTCACGATACAATGTTTTCTTCTCGTAATACATTGTTTGCAAAACGCAATGAAAGAGTGAAATGTGTAACAAGAATATATTTGGCACTTTGCCAAGCTAAAACAGTCTTTTCTAGGAATTGAAAATGGAAATTTAAAAAAAAAATTTTCTTCGTTTTATTACTTGCTCTGTGTTGTTGTTTTGGGAGAAACTCTGTTTTTATTTACAATTTTATTAAGATTTGTAAATTACACTGTATTACTTTTTTTTATTGAATTACAATAACTTTTATTTGTTGTTGATCATGAATTTATCCTGGTGATTTATTCAGAATAGCGTATTGAGTTTATGTTGTTCTTGTGACCTTCTGTGTGAATGATACACAACATAATACGTTCCAAAATCAGGTGAAACCAATGCATATGTACCCAGGCTTATAATGGGGACTATTCAGTAAAATCATATCCTTATATCATTCATTGAATTCGTTTATTTTTGTTACTCTTTTGCTTTTGCTAAATGTTTGTTTCACTAATAAATTCCTCAAACAAGAGGCAATTACATGTATTTTTTTTTTAATTTGTGCCATTCATTTATATATAGTTATGATGTGGAAATTTTATTAGATACAGAGATAGTAGAACAAAAAGGACCTTTCTTTTTTTTAAACTCGATTCCAACCAAGACCGGAAGGCGCGCTTTGTCATGGATCAGTGTCCAAAATCTTAAACCCATATCATTTTGTCAAGGTCAAAGTACTTATAATGAAATCTTGAAGATTTATTTTGGATGTATCTGTGTGACCCTTCAATAACATTGCTGTCTTTGCTTGAAATTGATTATCGACTTTGTTCATATTCATATAAATAATTTGGGGGTATGCTAGAAAGTTGGGAAGGGGAAGATTTGATTTTTAATTTTCAAATGAAATAAGTATTTATTTTAACAGCATTCATACCGCACTGCAGCATATACGTTTCAATAGATATGTATTTAAATATAAGAGTTAAACAAGATGCGTTTGTAAAACACCATGAACCCGGCGGCAACAAAGTTCCAAAAAACTATATTTAGCATATAAGTCACAAGGTCATTTTCCTTGATTATTGAAAGAACTTGATTATAATAATGGTTGCAACATCTCTATCTCCTATGGTTTAAAAAATATGGCAAAAAATCAAAAAACTATTTTTAACATATACATGTAGGTCACAGAAAAGGTCATGGACCTTAGTGTCATTTGAAAGGGCTTTATTAGTGGAATAAGCATGCTAAACATGAAGTCTCTATCTCCTATGGTTCAAAAATTAAGGCCAAAGTTCATAAAAGCTATTTTTAGCATAAAGGTCAAGGTCGCAAGGTCATTGACCTTGAAATCATTTGAAAGAGATTAGTGAAGTATGCATACCAAATATGAAGTCTCTCCCACGGTTCAAAAGTTATGGCGAAAGTTAAAGTTGACAACAGACAGACAGGACAAAAACAATATTCGCCCCGGATCTCTCGATCCAGGCGCACAAAAATTCAATAGATAGGAATTGAAATAAGAGTTAAATAATACCCGAATACTTTGATTACATACCGGTACGTTAAACTTTTAAATAAATTCAAACGTGCTTACAGGCACAGTTTGATCTTGTATGTTGCAGTTTTTGTCGCCAAAAATAGTGTAAAGACACTTTTTTTTTCAATTTTTGTCCATTTCAGGTAAAACAAAAGGCAATGATAGAGGAGGTGTAAAACAACACGATATGCTCTACTTCCGGTGAATAGTTTGAATTGTTTAAGTGTTATACTTCTAACTCAGAAAACATTTAATTTCAAATCTATTATTTAAAATTTGATCACGATCCAATCACTTGGCTTTAATTTTATTTCATTTGAGAACACCCATAGGTTATGAAAATTTCTTTTCCTTGTTTGGTGAGCATTAGATGAAGGGTATATGAAAATGCAGATAACTATAGCAACGTTTCTCAGTTTTATGTTTTTCCCATATGTGTTGTCAGTTCCTACCAAAGACACAGTTAAGGACTATTTGACAAATCTGGACAATAACTATAATAGCTTGATATTTCCGCGCTATCAAACTTTCTCTCCCATCACTGTCGATGTGGGCTTAGAACTGTACAGTATTATCGGCTACGATGAAAGAATCGGTGTTTTAAAAATTTCTGGAAAACTTATTGTGACTTGGACTGATGAGAATTTGAAAGATTCTTATGTTGGGTGGTATACTCCGCAGAAATATTCGCAGCTGACTGAATTGGTACTTCAGAAGGAGAACATCTGGCTTCCGCCTCTTACGATTCAAAATGGCGTCAATAAAATCTGATGGTTGGAAACTCGTCATCAACTTTGAGAGTGCTTCCGAATTCAGGGTTTTTGAAGTGGACACCTAAGATCACTCCTAGCACAAAGTGTACATATGACGCCAAATTCTTTCCATTTGACAAACAAACTTGTGTAATAAAACTAGTGCCATGGGGATTCCAAGAGACAGAGATAATTCTAACTACTTCATCCTCGACTATAGATCTCAGTCATTATGATGAACAGACGCACTCTCAATGGAGCATAACTTCCACCAGCATCTCAAACAAGACGATCGCAAACCAATCTTTCCTGGAATTTTCAATACTTCTTCATCGAGAACCGAGTTATTTCATTTGGTTTACAGTGATACCAGTATGTGTCGTGACTTTGCTCATGTACTTTTCTTTCTTGATGCCAGATTCCAAGATAACACAGGGCCTCAGAATGAAGTTTCTCAAAGCTCGACTGAAACATTTGAAAAAGACCAGAAAGGATATTTTAGCCCCTCCAGTCATTGCAACTCGCGGTCGCTATATTGCAACGGCGCTATTGTTCTTTGCTTTTATTTTCAAATTGAATTTTTATCTTATTCCACACGTTTCCAATCCAATTCCACTAGTTTGTTATTTTCTTATAATTTCCCTGGTATTCATTGGCCTTTCTGCCATAGTTTCGGTACTCGTGATGAAACTCGACTTCAAACCAAAGCGCAAAGAAGTTCCAGAACGGTTTAAGGCTATCATTGCTTTTGTCCTGCTTCGTTACTGGTATCCCAAAGAGAGGGAGAAAGAACCGCAGGACCCTCAACAAGTGGTGAAGACCCCTAGAGAAAAAGGACCTATTGGGGACGAAAACAACAGCGAAGAAGAGGAGGAGGAAAAAATAGAGTACATGGAACCAAAGGAGGGCATAACCTACAAAACTGTAGCCTCCACTCTTAACATTTTCTTCTTTATGGTGTTTTTCGCCGTGTCTCTGACTTTCACCGTGATCATTATCATAACCGTTTCGGTTGGGAAAGATTCTTAATATTTGTGACACGTGCGTGCTTTATTTATTCTTAATTTGACCGAAGTTTTTGTTGCAGATATGTTTGCGTTATACTGTTGATTTTAAATTTTTTCAATAAATGTTTTAAAAATAATTAATAAATACATGTACTGCATTTTGTACGCATAGGTTATTCAGCTAGAAAAAAAGAAAAGAACGACTTGTGTGTGAGTTGATTTTAAGCTTTATTTGGGAATTTCAAGACATCAAATAGATTTTAAACTTTTTAAAGATTTGATGCATTTTGATAAACTGTAGAAGAGAGAAAAATTTCAAGAGACAAATGCGTAATTGTTTTTTTTAACTGTCACGCCCATTTTTTAAACCAATTTCCGCAGGAAATTACAAGCATATGCGCTCATCAGCAAAAAAGGTTTAAAAAGACCAAAAAAAAAAAAAAAGATAACGAAGGAAATGACTCGGTTCTAATTTTAAGAAAAAAATTCAACAGAAATTCTTCGTAGCAATTGAAAATTCCCAGTATCTCAAAATAAATATTGCGTCATCAAGATTTTTAAAGTTAAGATCATAGATATTCTCTCTGAGTGAAACATTTCAGAATTTCAGGCCAGGAATTGCATTGTTTGAAGTTCATAACAGAAATTTTTGTTATTCCATTTATAAGCAAATCTGAAATACACGACCAGTGTTTTAAAGATTGAAAAAGAAAGCAATTCAAAAGTTGCTGGAATTTCCAAGCCAGAAACATATTTTAAAAAAATACCACTTTATTAAAAACACAGCTCCTTGATTATCGTAACGATTTTCTGTGACATTATATACCGGTATTAAAATTTACGCGAGTTCTTCTTTTCCTCTAAATAAATCATTGATCAACGTACATTTATAAAAATAATTAGAACAAATTAATATATTTAGTTCTCATGTAAAACGTGGTCTATGTATATTCATTCTGCTGTTAAAATATGAGTGAGGGAATGTTAAGGGAATGTTTACCCAAATGCATCAAAGGTTTAATGAAAATAAAAAATAGATAATGATTATTTTCGATTTTAAAAAAGGGCCGTATAAATGAAAAAAAAAAGCATGTATCAATCAACTCGTCATGATGTACATGTACGTGTCTTTAATATACAGTATACTACAACGGCGTATTCGTGCCATATTGATAATGTAGAAAAAAATTTAAAAATCGTTTGAACGATTCATAAAATCGTTTGAACGATTTATAAAATTGTTTGAACGATTTAGAAAATCGTTTGAACGAATTAGAAAATCGTTTGTACGATTTAGAAAAATCGATTGAACGATTTTTTAAAACGATTTGTTAAATCGTTTGAACGATTTTTTAAAATCGTTTGTACGATCTGCTAAATCATTTGTACGAATTTTAAAATCGTTTGTACGTTTGTACGATTTGTTAAATCGTTTAGTACGATTTGTTAAATCGTTTGTACGATTTAAAAAAATCGTTTGTACAATTTTTATTTCTTGTTATTACACGTAGAAGAAGCGTAGTAGAAAACCTTGCACAAGTAGAAAATGTATCCACGCATAGTTTTAATGAATGACACGATGGATAACAGAGAAAAATTGATCAAGGTATACATGTATTTCAAGATGGGTTTCACTTTTTCGGAAATTGCACAGATCCTTTCGCAAACTCACCGAGTCTTAACGTTGAAAGGACAACAGCTAAGTTGGGACTGTTCAGACGTAAAAACAAATCCGACATAGGGGATGTAGCTCTTTTCATTGAGGAAACACTTGAATCATGTGGTCAATTGCATTGATACAGATGGTTGTACTGGAAAGCTATTATGGCAGGATTTACCCATTTCCCGAGAAGATATTCGATGTCTTCTTTTTATACAAGATCCAGAGGGAGTGCGTTTAAGGAAAAGAAACGGATTAAGACGAAGATTGTACACTAACAAAGGTCAAACAACAACAAAATTCATACCGTTTAATTAACAAGATACAATTTATCGTTAGTGTTTCTGTACCTGTTATAGTCAGCAGCGAAGGAACTTCTCTGTGCAATAGCTTTACCAGGTTTCTTATCCAGTACGCTTCAGTTCCGAATCAGAAGGGAAAAAATCGTTCAATCGATATTCTAAATCGTACAAAAGATTTTCTGAATCGTTCAAACGATTTTTTAAAATCGTACAAACGATTTAACAAATCGTAAAACCGATTTTAAAAATCGTACAAACAGTTTAACAAATCGTACAAACGAT